CATTTGCAAGACATTTGCGAGATGTTTCTTTTTTCTTTTTCTTCTTCTTCTTTTCCTTTTCTTTTTCTTTTTCTTTTTCTTTTCTTTTCTTTTCCTTTTTCTTTTTTCTTTTCTTTTTCTTTTTCTTCTTCTTCTTTTTCTTTTCTTCTTCTTCTTCTTCTTCTTCTTTTTCTTTTTCTTTTTCTTTTTTCTTTTCTTTTTCTTTTTCTTCTTCTTCTTTCCTTTTTCTTGCAAATGATAGGGGGGCGACCGCCCCCCCTGCCCCCCCTGTGGCGCCGCCCCTGCCTGGGGGACATAGACCCTATGAGCATCACTATACGTACATATCATGGACTCCATGGTGCATTTAACGGGTGCATGCCCGTGGTACGTATAGTATCTATGGTGTCAGGTGACACTGGGTACTATAGTTATTTTGTTAAATCTTGAAGCAGTCAAATGTTGCCAAACATGATTCCTATGTGTATTATGTAACTATGTATTTCTTCCATGCCTCGAGAGGGTCCGTACAAGAAATAAAATCAATTCAATTCAATACCATTGGACGGTGGCGCCGCCGGCGAAAGAGCGGTGCATTTTGGAACAAGTTTGGAGTGTGCATGTTCGGTTTTCAAGTGAGCATGCATAAAATGCTTAGTGTCAGAGCACTTTTGAATGTAAACAATAAATTATCACTGGTAGTTAACAAACGATCAGTATACGGTTTTAAAATAATATTACGATGATACGAAAATTTTACGGCAACTGTACGCGGGCTATAGTACTAGAGCTAAACCGTATCATGATGCACAAAAATCAAAAAAGCTGAACAGTTTCCCCTGGGAGGTATTTCCAATATGGCGCCACACATACTGTGGTAGTACGAGAGTTTGGAAAACATTCGAATTATTGTTTGACATCACCGGGTGCTGTAATTATAAGGGGGATGGCTTTGCCACGGGGATTTATATACTTTAAGCGTAAGTTCTCAGATACATTTTAGCAAATATTTTCTGCGTATTAATGCACACTTCGTTCAACGTTTGACAAAGTTACTTTTTCATGTACATGTCAACTTCAGGTCTCCACCAAAGTCATGTTTGCGACTAGCTCTAGTACTATAGCCCGCAGATAGCTGCCGCAGGGCTATAGGTGTTGATATACAGTAGAGGCCGTCCATAGGCTGCAGGCCTGAATAAGCATCGAACAGATATTAATTAAAAGGAAGTTGCTCCTGCAACGGTACCGTCGCCGATTTTTTTTCTCTTAAAGTCACGGTACTGACGGTACTGACGCCTGATTGGTTGAGCTTGTTTTCTCGCGATATACATAGCACATCCAAAATTTCAATTTCAATATGTCGCAGCAGCGTAACGGTTATAAGGCTGGCGCCAAGTATGAATGGTCCGCAGGATCGAATCCCTGAATTGTTTGTGCCTAAAGGAAGTCTCGCAATAACTCAGAGTTCATGGACTATAGTTTTTACGTTAGACTTATCGCCTGTGAAGAATTATATAATGGGGATTGATAATCAAATTGAGTATTTATTCAATCAACGTACGGAGCGTTCACCTCCCGCCGCTGCCCGACCCCCTATTAACAGTGATAGTACTCGCATGTCAACAGGAAATGAATTTCGAGGGGGCACTTAGGAAATGGCTACATCCAAATGTTACAACAAGAACACAGACACCACTATCGCTAAACAACACGGAACAATTACAACAGCAACAACAGATCGACGAAAACAACGAACAATTTCGCGAGATAATCGAAGTCTTTATTAAAAAGCATGCAGCTGATTTTAGAACACGCTATCGCCGTCTATCGGAGCACATTGATGGGCTAACGTCTATGTTCTCTACTACGAGACATCGCTTAATTCAAACGATCTTTATTACCGTTTATAGGGCGTTTCCAAAAGGCATTGTATGGAGTAGCAACGGAGGATGATCTAAACGACTTGCAATCTAGATTATCTAGCTTCGAGATAACGCAAGGGGCATTTCAACATGCCATAGAGCATTCACTGACTGTTTTTAATCTTACAAAAACACAGGTTAAGCTAAATCATGATACTTTAATCAAACTTATAGATGGGGTCGAAACTATGCGGAATTTTGTCAATAGTATAAATAACCAACTACTAACTTGAACTATTACGCTTAATACGAGGACTGCAGCCATAGTGCGACTGCAAACCACGATTGATATGATGATGCTGACCTTACAAGAGGTCACACATAGTGGCTGATTTAGAACATTCGTTAACCAGCTGTCTCACAGGCAGGTTGCCGATATCACTGGTCCTACCGACGCATTTACAAAACATTTTGCAGAGCATTAAACAGGTTATTCAAAATTACCTTGCAATGCCTAAACCATTAGACGACACAATTTTGTATTATTATAGCTTACTACAGACAATAGTTATACCAGTACAAAATTCCTTTCACATACTTACGTTTTTGCCCTTTAAACATGTTGGCCAGATTTTTAACATTTTTCAAATTTTGCCAGCACCGCAATATGTTAATGGCACCCATGCGCATGTGTATTACGTGCTAGATAAAGAATACATTGCGTTCGCGCAAGATAAAACACGCTATTTTTATCCTAAGTCAAACTTAGTACGTAAGTGCCTCCATGAAACGCATAACATCTGCCAGGCAGAATCTGAAATTTATTATGTTAGAGGCTCGAAGGATTGCTTAGTTGCACTCTTTTTAAAGCATGCCGAGCACATACAAACTAACTATTGTCAAAGGAGGGGCAAGATTCATGCCAACCTTAAGCATCTAGTTACATATATTGGTAATGGACATTGGCTTTTGTCGCCAGCAAAGTCATTTCGTTTACTCATTTCATGTCAGACTACCAACGATCAGGCCCCTAGTATTACAGGCGTAGAGATAGCGTCGCGCCAACTTGTATCACTTCAGTCCGGGTGTATAGTGCTCATTCCGCATCCTATGCCATGCCATGCCATGCCATGCCATGTCATGTCATGGCACCGCATCCCATCGCACCAGATCCCATGCCATGCCATGCCATGCCATGCCATCCCATCCCAAACAGTAAAAATATAAAATAATAAGAAATCAAAAAATAAAAGACATTAAATATAGAAAATAAAAAGTTAAAAGTAAAAAAGTAAAAATAATACATACTAAAGAGGTAGGCAAAGGGAAAAAAGGGAAAAAGGGGAAAATAAGTTCTCCAGCTGGGACTCGAACCCGGAATCCCGGTGTAGGAGACGGATGTTCTAGCGATTAGGCCACTGCGCCGTTTAGGGTATACCCATGGATTCACACGTACGTGATGTTAATCTGTATGCACCGCCATCTATTGATGAATAGAATTTTTATGAATTTGTACAGACTTGCTCATTGTGAAAATATCTATAGTTTTCCTCTAGGCTGCGGAGTTCTCTAGTTATGCGAGTAC